CCTAAGCACTGGCGGAGGGCTCCGGTGGGCAGGGTATGGCATCCGCCGTACCTTGATTCTGGGGCAATTTTTTTTATACCTATGCATCTATCGATCGGCAGACTCTGAATCGGCATCGACTGTTTCGATCGACCGCAGCCAGCAGCGCTGGCCTGATGGGCCGACGCATCCAGCTGTTGGGCCATGCAGGCAGGCACGACAGGTTCGATTCGATTGAGAGTGTCTAAAAAAAAGGTTTGATTCGATCGAGCGGCCACACACACAATGCACACGCACGCACGCGACCAACTCTACCCAGACGCGACGCAACCCTAAGCAGCTAGCGCGATGGCGGCTGCTGGCCATGTCGCGAGGACCAGGCGGGCGACTGATGACGGGGGCAGGCTGGGGGCTTAGAGGGCTGCCGCAGCGAGCTCCAGCGAAGGAAGCAAGCGGCGGCTTCAGTGGCGGTAGAAGCAAGTTCCAGCAGACGACGGCAGTTGGGAATTTTCCTGGTCATTCCCCGGTGTACGAACCAGAGGACTAATTGCAGCCACTTTGTTGGGTATTGGCAAATTTTCTTCTATCAGTTCTGCAGGATCTGAACCAACTACAGTAATTCTGAATATAACGGATAAAAATTTATGTAGCGACCTTGTACAATATGGTGGAAAGTTTGTCTATATTTTCTCATTCATGCTAGTGTACTGTGGACGCACAAGTTTTTGTTTTTAGATGATTATGCATAAAAGCTAATAAGATGCCCAACCGGCGCAGTTCTAGACGCCATTGAAATCTTCATTATTGGTTTGTTTTAGGTTATTTTCCTATTGAAATATGCCTACATTTTCATTGTATTGGGGTTTCCGTTTGTAATGTGTATTGACTCTTTTGATTTGCATCAAAAAAATTCTTTCCTTAAGACTTCGCCACACCTTAAAAAAAATTCGTCCTCCACCTCTGATTTCAAATATACCATGGCACATTATAAATTCTAAAAGAGTTTGGTCTGATAATCGGATGCCTACTGAAATTACTATTTTCTTCGTGAATTACAAAAAATGCTAAAAGGAGAGCACCAAGAATGTGATAAAATCAATACGAGGCACATCGTCGATCATCCGAGAATCAAGCAATCATACGAGACATGATACTGAGATTTGTTAACGGGGTCCACTAACATGGAGGCGGCCACGGTATTTGACTGCAGCTTCTCGGTTAGATATAGCTTTGGTCTTGTATGACTTTGCTCTTGCCAGCATGTTTATTTTGTGTGTACATGGCTATGTGCATTTTAACTATGCAGATGCGAGTGTGTCTCTTTATGTTTGTATCCACTTGGTGTTTCAGTTTAAGTCAATAAAATCCATTCGTTGTTGAAAAGGATTTGTTGCCAGCATGTTTTTGTGTGTGGGTGGGTGGCATTCAGAATGAGTGTCTTTGTGTTTGTATCCACATGATGTTTCAGTTTCTATCATTTGTTGAAAAGGATTTGACTGCGGCCATTGCTGGAGCTTGTTCGTTACTGTAGTATTTTTGGTACTTTTGAACACTGTAGCACCAAAGCAGGCCCAGGGCCGGGCTAGCCTGGCACCTCCCCTGACCTGCGGCGGCGGCGTACGTGTTGCACACAAATCAGAACCCAGCAAACTTCACTCCCGTTCTTTGTATCTGTCATCTATCACTAGCGGCCCAATAACACTCTGATACAGTAGCACACTTTTTTTGGACGTAGATTTTTGGCTCTGGGAGCATATGCTCCTTAATAAACAGTAAAATCAAAATAACTAGTAAATAAATTTGGAAATTCTAATGTTTAGATGTTCGTATTAGTGTAACAAGTGTACTTGATAATTTTCAGGCCACATAGGATAGCAGTGCTTCTTCGGCAAAAGAAAAACAAAATTAAGTATAACATTTGACGTTCTACTTGTTTTTTTTTCACAGGTCAAAATGCTTACATTTTTTCTTGAAAATTTGCATGTATCATTTGGATGTGACAATAAACACATCTATTTTTTTCCGTTTGTTTGACATTTGTAAAATCCACTTTTAGCACGCAGGAGCATGTGCTCCCTAGAGCCAAAATGGATTCCGACTTTTTATTTCCTAAAAAAGAATATTGTAGAGCTAAAGTTGTACTTAGCATATAAGTACAAAACCACTATCAACAGTAGAACTAAAATTGTACTCAGCATACAAGAGACTCGTGATTAGGGTTACCACGTTTCCCACCGGCATTGTTGTCGATCTACTTCGTCTCCTCTCGCTTTAGAGCTATGAAGGCGTGGTGGATCCAGGCCATTGTCGGTGGAGGGCTCCTGCTCCGTTTTTAGATGTTTTTTTATTTTTCTTTAGGGTTTGTGTCCTGCTTAATAAGACGAGGCGGCAACGGTGACTCTTTTAGTATGAAATGATGTTCTCCTCGCCTAGCCCCCGTCCCAGAAGTGTGTCTAGCACCGTCGAAGGGCATGTGGAGGTGTGTCTCGGGCGGAGCTTAAGAGATTCGGCCGGTGTTTGTCTTTGGTGGATCTGCATACGTGTGTCTACATGTTGGTTCCTTCCGATCTATGCTTCTCTTCATTAGCGACGATTGCTGTTCTGGTGCGCTCATTCTTTGGGGCCTTAGCACGACGGCTTCCCGATTGTCCACTACAACAAGATTTTCCTGTTTCTGGTGAAGGAGGGGCAATGAAGGCGGCACGCCTTTAGCTCGCTCCAGTGCTGGTAGTTGTCGCTAGGTGGTCTATGAAAATAGATGTAATTTCTAGTGCTTCTTGTGTTCTTTGCACCGCCATGATGTTTGATGAATAGATCAGAAGTGTTTGTCGCAAAAAAAGAAACAAGGATAGAAAACCATAATCAACAAAAAAAACATTGTCTAGCTACATTTATGAAAAAGGAATTTGCACTGTAAAAAATGAATGTATTACTTCCTATGTTCCAAAATATTTGAACTTCTAGAATTTTCCTAAGTCAAACATCCTTAAGTTTGATAGGGAATTTTACTAATATAAATATATATAATATGATAATATAATTTATGTAATCAAACTAATTTGGTGTTGTAGATGTTTGTATATTTTTTTATAGACATGGTCAAACGTAAAGAAGTTTGACGTAGGACAAACCTAGAACTTCAAACATTTGGGAACAGAGGGAGTACTAATCAAACATTTGCGCCGACGATTACGACCATGGATGACTAGTACTAGCAAGTTAATGTAATCAATTTGTTTTT